TGGATGGATGAATGGATGGAATGGATGGATCGATGGATGAATGGATGGATGGATGGATGGATGGATGGATGGATGGATGGATGGATAAATGGATGGATGGATGGATGGATCGATGGATAGTTAGATAGATAGACAGACAGACAGACAGACAGACAGATAAACAGATAGATCGATAGATAGATAGATTGATAGATAGATATATAGATAGATAGATAGATAGATAGATAGATAGATAGATAGATAGATAGATCGATCGATCGATAGATAGATAGATAGACAGACAGATAGATAGATAGATAGATAGATAGATAGATAGATAGATAGATAGATAGATAGATATATAGATAGAAAAATAGATAGATAGATAGATAGATAGATAGATAGATAGATAGATAGATAAACGTGCGCGCGGAACGTGTATATGTTACACTATAGATTGTGTCGTCGCGAAAACTGCGCCCTGGAATTTGTATTTAGTTCGGCGAGGCGAGGCACACCTCCCTAGCTATCTAGGTTTGCCCGTGACATGCCTAACCAGTTTGAAATAAGCCGGCCCGCCACATCGTGAATTCCTCCTCTTCGTAATATCCGCATGTGAAGCTATGGCTGGGTGCTCTATGGCGACGTTTTACTCGTAAACAAGCTAAATTAACCATGCACGCCGCGAACCTCTCGCTCGACTCTTTCTCCCTTCGCTCCTGATTCCCCACAACGTATACACGACGCAGGCGCGCGTCGCTCGCCGTCGCAACAGACGCGAACAGACAGATGTTGGTTTAAACCGTCACCGCGCGACGCCATTATATAGGATATAGCGAAAGACAACGGGAATACCGCATATAATCAGAAGAGAAAGATAATCAGTAGAAATAGAATCCCTATTATCTACTTCTGATATAATGTACCTATATCTACTCTGTCTATATTTTCCGTTGGCGGAGATCTAGCCGGGAAGGGAAGCCATCGAGGGGTCAGCGAGGTGTGTTCGCGGAGATTGATGACGAGCTAGAAATAGCTGATTACGCGAGAGGGATGGGCTTGTCTTTATGTTTTTTTTCTGTATAAGTGCTGCAGCGCGCCGATAATCAACGCCTAGCTGATTTGTAAAGATCGATGATGAAAGAAGAGAAAATTCCGCAAGCTACCTCCTAATGACCGTGGTTATTAATTGCACAGCTCGTACGAGAGAGAAAGAGAGAGCGAGAGATAGATAGAGCGTAAGAGAAAGAGAGAGGGGAGAGGAAGAGAGAGAGGGGGGGCATGCGAACGAGGGTGGGCGATGGTGAGTGAAAGAGTGAGAATAGTGGTGGGGACGTAATTAATCTATATACAGAAGGAGCAGATGAGAAAGCCAGAGAGGAAAACCCCTGAGTCGAATAGCGCGGCAGATATACACTAGTAAAATATAAACACCGACACCAGTAAAACAAACAGCGGCACAGACGCCACTCAGGAGGATATACACGATGATAAACACAAGGAGGTAGGAGGGGCATTGTCAGAAAAATCGCAACAAGTTACGACTATCATAAGTCTCAAATAACATATAACATTTGCACGACGATTCACTTCGAAAAGTTGTGACATTTCAGACCTATGATGTTGTAACTTCCTACGATTGTTATGATAAAGGGGTCCGGAGTCAGCGATGCGTGCTGTGATTACTGAATTGAATTACGCTCATCGCCTCCCTGTGTAATAATAACGGCGACCTTTGCACTGCCAAGGTCGTCGATGCGTTGCGGCGGCGCTGCAAGTGTCGCCACTGTTGTTTGCGACGAGAACGATGACGATATTGCTGCAAGGGGGTAGGGGGCGACGCTGATGCGGTCAAGCGGTTTCGCCGCCTGGTGCGTGGAAATAACTCCGGGGGGGGGGAAGCGAAATTTTGCGCGGATTACGCAGTTTTAAATGCGCATTTCGCCGGTGACAGGCGGCGCGCCGATGCCGCAAAGTTGTTACGCGCGCGATCAATAAAGTAAACAATATTTCGAATATTTGAGACGGGGATCATTAAAACCGCCAAATTGCGCGCGAATAAATCCATTATCAGAATCGATAACCGCCGAGCGATCATCAGAAACGGCCGCGCCGTAATTCTTCACCGAAGTTACAATAGAGCCGAATCCTCCTGGCGGCCATAATAGAGAAGATTCGGCGCCGCACGGCGGGAAAGGGTTATGCGGCGTTATTACAACAAGCTCTTCTGTAATTATTCACTAAAGCCTTCTAAAGCCGCGCGTCTCCGGACACTTGCGTGCCTAATTATAATACATGGAATATTACATCATATCATAATATTGATCCCGCTTTATCAGGAGTTAATAATGTCAAATTTGTCATTATTAACCCCTGACTTTATGTATAGACGCTGCGGTCTCGTCTCAAACGGCGCGGGACGTGCCAGATATACGACCGCGTTGACGCGCGTGCTGGCTTCATGCTGAGGGATTCACCTGCTTAGCACGTGACCACGACGACGGTCACTCATCTTGGCAATTTCGCTAGGAATTATTAATGAGGATATATGTTGTGTCGTATATGATACATGTAGGTTAATGAGGTAATAATGTGGATCACCTGAGGATACAGACAAGCGACGGCCGCTAGGTGAATCCATCCACGTGTGCTGCACAGAGGACGTACGTTTCACGTGTTGTGTTCGTCACAACTCTTAGCTTGTTATCCGTGCGTGCCGTAATTAATTCACTTCTAGACTCATCGACCACTCGAACCATGTCTGTCAAGCATGGCTACCGACGCCTGTCTCATAGCCGCCAGTATCACACCGACAAGTTGGCTTAGGTATACGTGCAGTGTGCGTGCGTGCGTGTATGTGTGCGCGAGCATGTGTGTGCCTGCGCCGTAAGCATGTGTGTTGGGGAGGGAAGTCTTACATGTGATTTAAGTTGAAAGAGCGTCTGTATTATATCTTGTCTTTGTTCTTAATACTAAGCGATGTAACCGATACTAGGCCAAGCTAGCTTACCAGTTGTCGGCGTAAGACTGCTACATTCCTTCCGGTAGATGGCGACATCGTCGACAGCGATGTCGCCACTGGAGCCGTTACCGCACACTCCTTCGATGATAATCTAAAAGGACATAATTTTTTACTAGTACGATCGAATATTTGGGTGTTGTAGTGTACTACCCTAGCGGTTGGAGGAGAGATTTCTTTTCCAGCTTTCTTCCGTTCCCTCTTGACCTACTCTGTTCACTTTGTGCATGCGCTCGGGTTGTATGTTGGCTAATATTCTAGCAGAACTCATTAAGTCGCTCATTATGTGCGTCCAACACAGTTAGAGCGCGACTCAGAGGCAAGTCCTGCGAGCTGCTTTTACGGACAATGTAATCTGAAGTTTTCATCTCCATGTGGAAATTGTGAAACGTGTTTGTACACATTAGCTAGCTCGCGAGGCTATTACGCAGACAGTAATGATTGTCTTTGCGCAAGTTGCGCGTGTTTGCGTCTCTGCAACGTACTGCCGTGGCTAATCATACTTACAGCGGGAAAGACATCAATGACACGCAGACTCTCTCTCTCTCTCTCTCTCTCTCTCTCTCTCTCTCTCTCTCTCTCTCACCTGTGCTTCCGCTCCTCGCTCTGCTCTCTGTCCTTCTCTCCTCGCTCTCTCGCTCGTCGCGCTCATCCGCGCTCGTCAGCGCTCTCTCCCTCTCTCTATCTCTGCCCGTCTCTCTCTCTCCCTGCTCGTTCGCTCCTCTCTCTTTCTCTCTCTCCTCTCCCTGCCTCACTCTCTGCCATCTCTCATCTGACCATCTATCCTCGTTCAATCTTCGTCTGCTCTCACTCTAGCCATAGCCTCTCCTCTCGGCCTTTCTACTCTCTCTCATCCTCGATCTCATCTCTCTCTCTTATCATTCATCCGCCCTCTCTTTCTCTCTCTCTCTATCTCTCTCCTCTCTCTCTCCTTTTCCCTCTCCTAATCCCTTACATTCTCTCACTCCTACCTCTTTATATCTCTCTAGTGCATCTCTCCATCCGCCTTCCCTCGCCTGCTGCACTTACTCATATATTCAATTATTCATCTAATTATCCTTTCATTAATTTTTCAAAATATATAATTTGTTTTTGTCAATTGCATTTAGTGTCTCATGATTTTTACTAAACTGAGCTCTCGGCAAACAATCACAATTAATCCAGTTAACTTAAGTAATTTAAATAGGGAAGACAGCAAGCTGTCTGGCTGCGCCATGGGAAAACTGTTTACCGCTAATAATGTTAGTTACTTACCTCGATATACCTCCGTAATATTGTCTAGCGAAAATACGGGCTTCCCGCAGACCGTCGCCTGGATTCGCCACTTCATCGCCCATATCGTATCCGTATATTCTCATTTACCATAGTTGGGCGAGATTCTCCACGTTCGCTGCATAATCAATAGAGGAAAGCCAACTCGCGCACGTCCGTTGCACCTGTGGTTTATAAGCTAACAGATAAACCAACTAAATACATCAGCGAGCGAACGCGTAACATAATTAAGTTAGGCGGCGTGATTTTCAATTCCTAGCCGGCGCACGGTCCCTCACGAAGCACGCTATGTCTCATTCTGCTGCTATAATATAGCCGTGTATTTACTACTCGTTTAGCTTATTGGATTCGCGCCCGCCTCCGTTTTTAACTCATTCAACGCTGAGCGCGCCGCGCTTTCCCAATCTACGACCCATGTATCCCAAGACCACTTCGCACGCGAGCAGCACGTGCATTACAGTTCAACCCCTGTATATTACAGTCACTAAAACAAATAGATGGCCGAAAATTCTTTCTGAAGCAGCCGACCTCTCGGATTAGAGATGAACGGCCATTTGAACTTTTACATCTACCGACGGCAGTGCCGAACATTGTGATACCAGAATTGGAAGCATCCGACAGGGCTTTAGGTGGAGCGAGGTGAGTAAGGCGCGTGCTGTAGTGTTAGGCTGCTGAGGTACGCCTACTCACTCCATGTACCACGTAATAACCCTGTAATACACGAATAGAAGAACAAAACAATGAGCGTACAACACTGCATGGCCGCTGGTAAAATATCGGCCGAGGTAAAACAGACTCTCTGCTCTCGAATACAAAAGGGGGTTACCAACAATAAGAGGGAGTCCACACAATATGGGGGCGTCGCCGCAACAATAAGAGGGAGTCCACAACAATTAATGGGGGCTCGGCAACAATATTAGGAGTCCACAACAATATGGGCGGGACGTCGGCAAACAATATGAGTGAGGCCCGCAACAAATCCAACAATATGAGGCACCGTTCCGCAACAACATGGTGAGTCCGCAACGCAATGAGAGGCCGCGTCCGGCAAGCAATAATGAGTGAGTCCACCAACAATATGGGGGCGTCGGCAAAGCAATAGCAGTGATGTCGCGCAACAATAATAGGGGAGTCCGCAACAATATAGTGAGCCGCCAAATATAGGGAGTCCGCCAAACAATATGAAGTGACGGCCGCAACAAACTATGGGAGTTCCGCAACAATAATGGAGTGAGTCCGCAACAATATAGGGGAAAAAGGGGTGCCGCAACAATATGGGGGCGTCGGCAACAATATTCAGTAGTCCAAAACAATATGGGGAGTCCGCAACAATATGAGTGAGCTCTGCAACAATATAAGGGGAGTCGCGCAACAATATGAGTGAGTTCCGCAACATATAGGGAGTTCCGCAACATATGAGTGTGAGATCCGGCACAATATAGGGGAGTCGCGCAACAATATGGGGCGTCCGGCAACAATATGAGTGGAGATCACGCAACATATATAGGGGAGTCGCAACAATATGAGTTGACGTCCTGCCAACAATATGAGTGAGTCCGCCAACAATATGGGGAGTCCCGCAACAATATGAGGTGAGTCGCGATAAATGAGTGAGTCCGCAACAATATGGTGTAGGCGTCGGCAACAATATGAGTGAGCCGCCAAGCACATATGGGGATCCGCAAACAAATGAGTGAGTCCGCAACAGCATATAGCGGGAGTTCCGAACAATATGAAGGTGAGTCCGCAACAATGAGTGAGTCCGCAACAATATAGGGGAGTCCGCAACAAATATGGGGCTCGGCAACAATAGGTGAGTGCAGCACCCATAAGGGATGGGGATCCCAACAATATGAGTTGAGTCTTGCAACAAATATGAGTGAGTCCGCAACAATATGGGGAGTCCGCAACAATAGAGTGACGTACCGCGATACATATGAGTGAGTCCGCAACAATATGAGTGAGTCGCGAAACAATATAGGGGAGTCCGCAACCATAATGATGAGGGAGCCGCACAAATAGGGAGTCGCAACAATATGCAGTGATGTCCGGTAATATGAGTGAGTCGCGCAACAATTATGGGAGTCCCCAACAATATAGTGAGTCGACGAAAAAAGAAGGGAGTCCGCAATAATATGACGGGAGTCGCAAAATATACGGCGGAAGTCCGCGGCAAACAATATGAGTGCAGTCGCGCGATAAATGAGTGAGTCCGCAACAATATGGGGAGTCGCGCACAATACTGAGTGAGTCCACTAACAATATAGGGAGTCCGCAATAATATGGAGTGAGTCCGCAACCCAACTGTGGGGAGTCCGCAACAATATGAGTGAGCTCCGCGATAATAGAGTGAGTCCGCAACATATGAGTGACGCCGGCAACAATATGATGGGAGTCCGCGATAATTGATGAGTCCGCAACAATATCGGGATTCCGCGCAAACAATATGAGTGAGTCGCACAACAATATGGGGAGTCCGCAACAATATGAGGGAGTCCGAAACAAATATAGGGGGAGTCCGCAATAATATGAGGGCAGTCGCGCAACAATATAGGGGAGTCCGCAACAAATGAGTAGTCCGCAACAATATAGGGGAGCCGCAACAATAATGGGGAGTCCCGCAACAATATGAGTGAAGTCCGGCAACAATTGGGAGGCCGCCAACAATATGAGTGAGTAACGCGATAATATGAATGAGCGACCGCAAAACAAATTTGGGGAGGCCGCAACAATATGAGTGAGTCCGCGACAATATGAGTGAGTCCGCAACAATATGGGGAGGCCGCAACAATATGAGTGAGTCCGCAACAATATGAGTGAGTCCGCAACAATATGGGGAGGCCGCAACAATATGAGTGAGTCCGCAACAATATGAGGAAGTCCGCAACAATCATACATTGCTCCGGTTACTGGAGAATTGGACCAAGAGATTCCGATCGTTGTTGTAAATGAGTTAGACGAGGTTTGACTAGGTCACTAATCATAGGGTGCTTCTTCTGCCAGGGTGATGCACGCACATCCGTCCGAGAGGATTTACTAGACTAGACTAGCGCTTCGCTTTTTACTAACTCCGGTCTCTCCGCCAGTATCCATACGTTCAGATACGTTCGAACTCTCATTTCATTCTACCCTCATGATCATCCATCTCGATAAGCTTGACATGTTACCTCGAATACAAATTTAGAGCATTTGTTCATGCACGCACGCCTGCTGCGTGAAAGCAAAGCGCACCGGTAAAAGTTTAACAAATAACTAAACCATGGAATCTTGTTGTACTTACACGCCGGCTGCCGGCTGTGTGCGTTCTATTCCCAGAGAGAGGAAATCTTTATTTATTCAGTCTGGGATTTCTATGCGCGAGTTGATACCACGCTGCTGGACAATCCCGATATATAGCGAATCCAGCGTGCTTCGCCTTTCCATCGCGTTTGATACAGGAGGGTGCGAACTAATACTATCGATGCCACTGATGTAAACGCCTGAGAATGCGTACGAATTCGCGGTGCTCCCAGTGAAAGTCTTATAGTCGCAATGACTTCACTATAGGCAAATGTACAGCTAGCATACCGCGTGGCTGGCGATGTTAACACTGAACGTCGCAAGACCTAGCTACTCATGCACTGCCTCCCACTCCCCTCCACAGCCGCGCATATATCTCCGATAGTCACTGCCTAGCATCGACGAACGCTGCGCTCGTGCCTCAAACGACTGAACCGACTCTTAAACTCATTCCCGCGTAGAAAGTAGACACGTCACGCTAATGAATCCGCATACATTAAGTATAAGTAGACGCCGCGATAGATACGCTCGTCCCGTGCACGCTGCGCGCACGCATGCATGCATGCCAGTGCATGCAACTAACTATACACGCTGCTCCATCTCCGTCTCGCCTCAAGCAATTATAGTAAGCCAGCGGAGATGGAATTAGATAAGTTTAGATTAGTATATTAATGTCCTATAACCGGTGTAATTGGTTTGCATTATGTCCATTCTCTGACGGACAATGTGCGTGTGCCACGTAGCCTTGTCGTGTGCCATTCACATTTCTTAATTTATTCGTCTGCATTTCGCATTTTCTGCGAGCGAGCGAACCCGGTCCGCGCGGAGCGAGTTTGCAACCACTGCTGCCCTCTCTCGGCCACCGATGATATCTTCACGCTCTATATTCGACGCGACATCACGCGGGCACACGCGAATCTACCAGCATCCTCATCGCGCCGCGTAATACAGAGTCGGCGCGTTGCTCTCGTGGACATCTCTCTAATTCCCGTCGCGGGTATAATCGTGTCGTGGATTCATTTCCTGGCCACTCGTGCCGCCCGCCGCCGCGCCCGCCGCCGCGCCCGCCGTCGCTCCGTCACACACGCGCGCAGCAGCAACGACGGCATTGTGAAGCCCCTCGCACGCAGCGAGATGCAATCTCAACATCGCGCGCGCGGCGGGAGCGGTGGCGGCTGCGTACACTACATGCAATATGCTACGGCGGCGTTGACACACTTTCCGAATTCCGTAAGACGCGGCTTGACAACCGGATTTTTAATATTTCAGGCGCAAATGCTTCTATTCAACGTACGCGATCTTTGGCGTGTTCTGGGAGACAAATTCACGCCATACGCCATATTCAAAATAACAGCAGGAACAAAATAATGGTCGCTCACAAACATGGTCGTCACGTCAATATGTTTACTATATGCACTACTTTTGTTATTGTGACAGACTCCGTACCGCTTTGGTCGACACCTAGTGTGTGATCGAAGCTGGGTCCAGTTCCTACGGGCTTGGACGGGGCACTGTGCTGAATCCGCTGCCACTGAAAATCATCGAAGAGTCCGTGCGTCCAGCCGCAGTAACCTTGCTCGAAGCTACAGTTATAACTCGCATCCGGGAACGCCTCTGCAGCGCCGAATCAATTCGTTCAAACGACGAAGAAAAATAAGATAATTCGAGAATTAGACTGCGAACTGAGTTTTTTTTGTAAAGGTAATTTCTGTAATTAATTTATTTCTTCCGTACAGCTCTCGTCTGCATCAGTCTCGTTTGTAATCTTGCTTTGCAATTTTATTTGAAGCGCGGTGCATGTTGACAGCAAATATTTATAGCGAGGATGACGCTTTTTGTCAAGAGTACAAAACACGATTCCTCGGTGAATAGTTATACTAATATAGTTACGTAAATAAAGCGGTAATTTCTTTGGCATAAATGCAATTTCGGTTCTTGAAAATTACTAAATTTAGCAACGTCGCATTCGCGTGAAAGAATGGCGCACGTTGTTTAATCGATGCGTAACGTTGTGCAGTATGTGAGTATTGTGTGAGGATTGTAGATGAGCGTACCCTCGCACGTCGGGGCCGTGCCGTTCCATGATGAGCCGTCACAGACGAGCACCGCTGCTCCTGTCAGGTTGCTGCCTGGCTGGCACCTGTACTCCAACATGGCGCCCTCATAGTGCCGCATAACGACGGCAAATCGCGGTGTAGGGGGCGCTTCGCATCGCGGACCTACAAGTCCACAACGAGGAGTAGGATGTAGAGTGCTATTCACACACGATTATACAATGTTATCGCACACGCACAATGTTATTATATGCACTCGATGGTATTGTTCATGCATGATATTGTCCGGAGTAAATAATAATAGATCTATAATTTATTATTATTCACTCTTGATATTATTATACATATACGAGATATGATAGAAATACACACTACATCCAAAGTGTTATGATTATGACTGATTTGAACCTCAAGTATACCGGTAATGTAATTACGACCTCATTAATGCGTTATATAATGGTCAACCTTATAACACCGTATATTTATAATATACGGGTTTATGTTGAGATAGAAAACGTGCGGACTATACATTCCCGTTTGGCAAAATTTCGCAGTATTTATAATAACAACAATGCCTAAACTATTTTGAATATCTCGCATGTACGAAAACATCATAAAAGCAGATCAAAGCTGTCACTCATCTTGCCATCTAAAGGTATAACTTCAAAAATATCTACACAACGCATGGATACGCATAACATAATACTGACTAGCGCACACTGGAGGCGGCTGCGACCATTTCCGAGTGATGCACGATATGTATTGGCTCCCTATGAGATAGAAACGCTTCCGACATCGGAATCTCGCTATGCGTCCCCTTCCTCTTATTTTCACTCGGCCGTTAGAGATGGATGGTCTCGGACATCGACTTCTCGGTCGCTTGCCACGTGGTCGCTTACTTGGCCGTACTGCAAACAAAAGACTTTATACTTAACATTTTTTACGCGATGCTGAACATGTTTCAATGCTACAATGCGGGAAATACGGTAGCCTGTACGAGAATATAGCACACCTACACCCACACTCGCGCACGCACCACTAAGCCACACACCCACCCACACACACTCGAGCGCGTATACATACATACATATGTTTGTTTGTGTATGTGTGTGTGTGTGTGTGTGTGTGTGTGTGTGTGTTCTCTGCCTCTCTGTCCTTCTCTCTCGCTCTCTCGCTCTCGCGCTCTCGCGCTCTCTCCCTCTCTCTCTCTCTCTGCCTCTCTCTCTCTCCCTCTCGTTCGCTCTCTCTCTCTTTCTCTCTCTCTCTCTCTCTCTCTCTGCCTCTTCTCTCTGCATCTATCTCTCTTCAATCTCTCTTGCTCTCACTCTTGCATAGCCTCTCTCTCTTTGCCTTTCTCTCTCTCTCTTTCTCTCTCTCTCTCTCTTTATCATTCTCCCCCTCTCTTTCTCTCTCTCTCTCTCTATCTCTCTCTCTCTTTTTCCCTCTCTAATTCCCCCTTACATTCTCTCACTCCCTACCTCTTTATATCTCTCTAGTCATTTCTCCATCGCTTTCCCTCGCTCTTGCTCACTTTACTCATTTATTCAATTATTCATCTATTTATCCTTTCATTAATTTTTCATTATTAATTTGTTTTGTTAAATTGCATTAGTGGTCTGCATGATTTTTACTAACGAGCTTCGGCAAATCCAATTAATACAGTTAACTTATAGTGAATTTAATAGGGAGACAGCAAGCCTGTCTCTGCGCCTTGGGAATGACTGTTTACCTAATAATGTTAGTTACTTACCTGATATACTTCCGTAATATTGTCTAGCGAAATACGGGCTTCCCGCCAGACGTCGCCTTGATCGCCACTCATCGCCCATATCGGTACCGTAATATTCTCATTTACCATATTGGCGTAGATTCTCAGCGTTCCTGCATAATTCAATAGAGGAAGCCAATCTCGCGCGGTCCGTTGCACCTGTGGTTTATAAGCTAACAGACTAAACCAACTAATACATCAGCGGCGACGGTAACATATTAAGTTACGGCTGATTTTTCAATTCCTAGCCGGCGCTAGGGTCCCTCACGAAGCACGCTATGTCTCATTCTGCTGCTATAATATCGCCGTGTATTTTACTCGCTTAGCTTATTGGATTTTCGCGCCCGCCTCCGTTTTCTACTCATTTCAACGCGAGCGCGCGCGCTTTCCCAATCACGACTCCATGTATCCCAGACACTCGCACGCGAGCGCCACGTGCATACAGTCAACCCTGTATATTACAGTCACTAAGGCGAAAATTCTTTCATGTACAGCCGGCCTCTCGATAGAGATGAACGGCCATTTTAAACTTTTACCTACCGACGGCAGTGCCGAACATGTGATACCAGAATTGGAAGCATCCGACAGGGTTAGGTTGGAGGCGAGGTGAGTAGAGGCGTGCTGTATGGTTGGGCTGCTGAGGTACGCTACTCTCCATGTACACGTAATACCCTGTATAACACAATAGAGACAAAACAATGAGCGTACACGCATGCCGCTGGTAGAAATATCTGCCGGGTAAAACAGACTCTCTGCTCTCGAATACAAAAGGGGGTACGCAACAATAAGAGGGAGTCCACAACAATATGGGGGCGTCCGCAACAATATGAGGGAGTCCACAACAATATGGGGGCGTCGGCAACAATATGAGGGAGTCCACAACAATATGGGAAGGCCGCAACAATATGAGGGAGTCCACAACAATATGGGGAGTCCGCAACAATATAGGGGAGTCCGCAATAATATGAGGGAGTTCGCAACAATATGGGGAGTCCGCAACAATATGAGAGAGTCCGCAACAATATGGGGAGTCCGCAACAATATGGGGAGTCCGCAACAATATGAGAGAGACACACATCACACACACACTACACACCACACAGGTCATATCACGACCGAAGACACAACTCGGAACAAGACGCGCACACAGCACAGATCGGTGCAACCACACACACACACAAACATCAATCATCACACACGACACACACACACACACACACATCACACAATCACACACACACACAGGCATACAACACGCACTACACGCGCCGCACTACACACCACACACAGCATACACCACACACACCCCACACCACACGCGCGCACGACAACACATCGCACGACACAAACGCATACAGACCGCAGATACACATGCACACACAACACACAAGCACACACACACGAGAGGATCACACACACACCACACACACATATATACACACACAGCACACGACACACACACACACACACAGGGAACCACACACACACAGCATCAACGCATACACAGCACACACAGCACTACACACACAGCACCACACACACACAGGGGCGGAGCACAGCACGAGCACACACACCGCCAGGAGGCCCACACCGCACGACACACACAGGGCACCACACAGGAGTGGGCGGGGGACAACACATTATCCACGCCACATCACACCACACAACACACACACACATCACCGGCGTACGACAACACACCATCGCATGCCATCTCAATCTGCATCCCATGCCATGCCATGCCATGCCAATGCCATCACCATCCGCATCAATCGCAACCGCATCCCATCCGCATCCCATTCCCATCCATCCACATGCCATCCGCCATTTCCATCTATCCCATGCCATGGCCATACCATGCCATGCCATCCATCCCATCGCATGCCATCTATTCCATCCCATCCCATCCCATCCCAACAGTAAAAAATAACAGAGACCATAGGAATCTGTCCATGGTTACATACAACATCCATGTAAATCTACAGCGCGATGGCCACGTGCAAGAAAATGAACGATAATCCTAATAAAGCTTCCTGTTGCTATTTTTTCGCGACTGACTACATCTTGTTTCGCGACACCAGTCACGATTTCCGGCAGCGACTGAGGGCTCGGTCACGTGCTTGTTCGTTACAGGGCCCGACGGCGCTGTTTCACCGCGTGCCAGCAGCAGCATCAGCCAGCGACAGTGTATGACCGCCGACGCCGGTCGCACGCTCTCTGTTCTTCCACACGGTGGCCACCATCACCACCATCCCGATGTTCGCCGCTCCGACGACTCCACCGACGTCTTCCGGGTCGAATGACACAACAACTTCCGACACGTCTGTAACTTCCGGGATAGCGGAAACGGCAACTTCCGGTCAGCGCGCGTCCGCGACGAGCGCAGATGACGGGCCAAACCGGATCTCCGCCGACGCGGTGTCAACCCTCGGTGACGTCACGGGAAATGCAAGTTCCGGCGATGACAACGATAACGAAGCGGGGTCGAGGAATAGCACAGCAGCCACCACGAGTGAGTTGTTCTTACTAGTGTAACGTCAGTGAATCGGAGTGGCGCGAGTTCTACCATGGTTTCCATTTCGCCTCGGGCGGAGAAGAGAATACTGAGAATGAAAGAGAGAGCGCACACACACGACACAGCAGCACACACAGACAGAGCCCACACACACACACACACAAGGCACACACACACAGAGGTCTCACATCACACACGACACAGGGCCAACACACTACATATACAGGCCGTTGGTAGCTACCGGTCGCGTCGTCGGAAGTAGCCGGCTCTGTATTGGCCCGACCGGCACTTTAAATAACATCTAGAGCGCATTAAAGAAGATAACATCTTTCGACCTGGCACAAAAACTATTGAGTTTGTGTAAGATATTACCCTCAAAAATAGTGAGGCAATCTACAGGATAATCACAACTGATTACACTTAAAGATTAATGTAAAAAACAACTATGAGTTTTAATGCTCTGCAGATAATTATGGCGTAAAATCATCAATCTGATCACATCGTAACAGCGCGCAGTACGTGCAGTAATAGCTGGCTAAGCAGCCGATGTTGGCTAATTATAGATAAATTTATAGCATTATAACGCAATCACTGATTATTTAAACCGGCTCTAAAGATTGTACCCTGGCTACACACCCTGATATATATGAGTATATATATTATATAGTAGAGGGATAGAGGAGTGAGAGAGAGAGTGGGGTAGAGAGAGTGAAGCGAGAGTGAGCATAGAGAGAGAGAAGAGAAGTGATAAAAGGAAAACGAGCGAGAAAAGAGAGCGCTAAAGAGAGAGAGAGAAAGAAAAAAAAGAGAGAGAAGATAGACAGAGAGAGAGAGAGAGAGAAGAGACAGAGAGAGAGAGAGAGAGAAGAGAGAGAGAGAGAGGAGAGAGGAGAGAAGATGAAGGAGAGAGAGAGAAGAAGAAGAAGAAGAGAGAGAGAAGGAAACGGAGTGGTGATGAGTAACACACACACACACACACACACACATCACACACACACACACACACACACAACACACACACACACTCACACACAATCACACGCACACACACACAGCACACTGGCACAACACACACACATCAGCCCCCGCCAAACGCACACACACGACGCAACGCCCACGCACGCACGCACGCACTACACAGCACATCTTGATGGGTGTTGTTGTGTGTCAGTGGTTGTGTGGGCCCGATGGTGTGCATGTGTGTGTGTGTGGTTGGTGTTGTGTGACATGTGTGTGTGTGTGATAGTCGGGTTGTGTTGTGTGTGTGTTGTGTGTGTGCACGATGTTGTTTAATATATAACTATATATATGTGGTTTGCTGTGTGTGGTGTCGTGTGTGCATGGTGTTGTGCTGTGTTGCTGGGTGATGGTTGGCAGGCGGCCAGTTGTTAGGCCGCGGTAGCCCAGTCAGGCTGGCGTCGGGGCGGCGTGCGGTGCGTGGGTGCGGTGGTGTGGTGATCGTTGGGGGCTGGTATGTGTGGTGTGGTGGTGTGTGTGATGTGTGTGTGCGGTGTGTGTGTGTGTTGTGTTGTGTGTGTGTGTGTGTGTGTTGTGTGTGTGGTGTGTGTGTGTGTGGTGTGTGTATGCATCCCCACACACAACACACACACACACCAGCATGCTACACATCACATCACACATCTATCACCTACACCACTACTACTATAATAATCTCGTAATCTTACTAGCACACCAACACACACACACACACATCACACTCTCTCCTCCTCTCCTCTCTCTCTGCTCTCTCTCTCTCTCCTCTCTCTCTCTCTCACACACACACACACTCACAGCACACACACACACACACACACACCACACACACCACACACACACACACTCACACAACACACACACACACACACCACACACACACACACACACACAACACACACCACACACACCAACAAACACCACACACACACACACACATACACAAACAAACATAATGTATGTATGTATACGCGCTCGAGTGTGTGTGTGGGTGGCGTGTGCTGGCTTAGTGGTGCGTGCGCGAGTGGGGTCTAGTTGTGGCTTATTTCGTACATGGCTACCGTATTCCGCATTGTAGCATGAAACATGTTCAGCATCGCGTAAAGAATGTTAAGTATAAAGTCTTTTGTTGCAGTACGGCCAAGTAAGCGACCACGTGGCAAGCGACGCGAGAAGTCGATGTCCGAGACCATCCATCTCTAACGCCGAGTGAAAATAAAGAGGAAGGGGACGCATTAGCGAGATTCGCGATGTCGAAGCGTTTCTATCTCATAGGGAGCCAATACATATCGTGCATCACTCGGAAATGGTCGCAGCCGCCTCCAGTGTGCGCTAGTCGTATTATGTTATGCGTATCCATGCGTTGTGTAGATATTTTTGAAGTTATACCTTTAGATGGCAAGATGAGTGACAGCTTTGATCTGCTTTTATGATGTTTTCGACATGCGAGATATTCAAAATAGTTTAGGCATTGTTGTTATTATAAATACTGCGAAATTTTTGCCAAACGGTAATGTATAGTCCGCACGTTTTTCTATCTCAACATAAACCGTATATGTATAAATATACGCGTGTTATAAGGTTGACCATTATAATAACGCCATTAATGAGGTCCGTAATTACATTACCGGTATACTTGAGGTTCAAATCAGTCATCAATCAGATACACTTTTGAATGTATTGTGTATTTCTATCATTTCTCGTATATGTATCATAATATCAGAGTGGAATAATAATAAATTATAGATCTATTATTATATTACTCCGGACAATATCATGCATGAACAATACCATCGAGTGCATATAATAACATTGTGCGCGTGTGCGATAACATTGTATAATCGTGTGTGAATAGCACTCTACATCCTACTCCTCGTTGTGGACTTGTAGGTCCGCGATGCGAAGGCGGCCCCCTACACGCGCGATTTGCCGTCGTTATGCGGCACTATGAGGGCGCCATGTTGGAGTACAGCTGCCAGCCAGGCAGCAACCTGACAGGAGCAGCGGCTGCCTCGTCTGTGACGGCTCATCATGGAACGGCACGGCCCCGACGTGCGAGGGTACGCTCATCTACAATCCTCACACAATACTCACATACTGCCCACAACGTTACGCATCGATTAAACAACGTGCGCCATTCTTTCTCGGCGAATGCGACGTTGCTAAATTTAGTAATTTTCAAGAACCGAAATTGCATTATGCCAAAGAAATTACCGCTTTATTTACGTAACTATATTAGTATAACTATTCACCGAGGAATCGTGTTTTGTACTCTTGACAAATAGCGTCATCCTGCGCTATAAATATTTGCTGTCAACATGCAGCCGCGCTTCAAATAAAATTGCAAAGCAAATTACAAACGAGACTGATGCAGACGAGAGCGTGCTAACGCGAAGAAATAAAATAATTACAGAAATTACCTATTTACAAAAAAACTCAGTTCGCAGTCTAATTCTCGAATTATCTTATTTTCTTCGTCGTTTGAACGAATTGATTCGGCGCTGCAGAGGCGTTCCCCGATGCGAGTTATAACTGTAGCTTCGAAGCAAGGTTACTGCGGTGGCACCACGGACTCTTCGATTGATTTTCAGTGGCAGCGGATTCAGCACAGTGCCCCGTCCAAGCCCGTAGGAACTGGACCAGCCTTCGATCACACACTAGGTGTCGACCAAGCGGTACGGAGTCTGTACACAATAACAAAAGTAGTGCATATAGTAAACATATTGACGTGACGACATGTTTGTGAGCGACCACTTATTGTTCCTGGCGTTATTTTGAATATGGCGATATGCGGTGAATTTGTCTCCCAGAACACGCCAAAGATCGCGTTACGTTGAATAGAAGCATTTGCGCCTGAAATATTAAAAATCCGGTTGTCAAGCCGCGTCTTACGGAATTCGGAAAGTGTGTCAACGCCGCCGTCCTACATATTGCATGTTAGTGTACGCATGCCGCCACCGCTCCCGGCCGCGCGCGCGATGTTGAGATTGCATCTCGCCCTGCGTGACGAGGGGCTTCAGCAATGCCGTCGTTTGCTGCTTGCGCGGCGTTTGTGTGAAGCGGTAGTCGACGGCGGCGCGCGCGGCGGGCGGGGCGGGGCGGCACGAAGTGGCCAGGGAAATTGAATCCACGACACGGATATACCGCGATGGGAAATTAGAGAGATGTCCACTGGAGCAACGCGCCGCAGCTCTGTATTAACGCGGCGACTGAGGATGCTGGTAGATTCGCTGGGTGCCGCGTGCGATGTCAGACGATCCAATATAAGTCCGTGAAGATATCATCGTGCCGAAGAGGGCAGCAAGTGGTTGCAACTCGGCTCGCCGCGGCGACCGGGTTTCGCTCGCTCGCAGAAAATGCGAAAATGCAGGACGAATAAATTAAGTTAAATGTGAATGCTAACACGACAAGGCTACGTGGCACACGCAACATTGTCGTGTCAAGAAGGAATATATGCGAAACCAATTACACCGGCTTATAGGACATTAAATACTAACGGTGAAACTTATGCTAAATTCAGTCGGTCGCTGCTTACTATCAACTTGCTTTGAGTCGAGACGGAGATGGAGCCAGCGTGTATAGTTAGTTGCATGCACTGGCAGCATGCATGCCGTAGCGCAGCCAGCGTGCACGGGACGAGCGTATCTAATCGCGGCGTCTACTTATAACTATAATGTGATGTCGGATTCATATTTACGTGACGTGTCTACTTTCTACAGCGGAATGAGTTTAAGAGTCCGGTTCAGTCTTTTTGAGGCCCGAGCGCAGCGTTCGTCGATGCATAGGCAGTGACTATCGGAGAGTATATGCGCGGCTGTGGAGGGGAGTGGGAGGCAGTGCATGAGTAGCTAGGTCTTGCGACGTTCAGTGTATACATCGCCAGCCTCGCGGTATGCTAGCTGTACACCGCCTATAGTGAAGTCATTGCGACTAATAAGACTTCTTACTGGGAGCACCGCGATTCGTAACGCATTCTCAGGCGTTTACATCAGTGGCATCGATAGTATTAGTTCGGCACCCTCCTGTATCAAACGCGATGGAAAGGCGAGACACGCTGGATTCGCTTATAATTCGGGATGTGCCAGCCAGCGTGGTAATCAACTCGCGCATAGAAATCCAGGACTGAAAATAAATAAAGATTTCCTCTCTCTGGAATAGAAACGCACACAGCCGGCAGCCGGCGTGTAAGTACAACAAGATTCCATGGTTTAGTTATTTGTCAAACTTTTACGCCGTCCTTCGCTTTCACGCAGCAGGCGTGCGTGCATGAACAAATGCTCTAAATTTTGTATTCGAGGTAAACATGTCAAGCTTATCGAGATGGATAGTCATGAGGTAGAATGAAATGAGAGTTCGAACGTATCTGAACGTATGATACTGACGGAGAGACCGAGTTAGTAAAAAGCGAAGCGCTAGTCTAGTCTAGTAAATCCTCTCGACGGATGTGCGTGCATCACCCACAGGAGAAGCACCCTATGATTAGTGACGCTAGTCAAACCTCGTCTAACTCATTTACAACAACGATCGGAATCTCTTGCTCCAATTCTCCAGTAACCGGAGCAATGTATGATTGTTGCGGACTTCCTCATATTGTTGCGGATCCCACTCATATTGTTGCGGCCTCCCCATATTGTTGCGGACTCACTCATATTATCGGCGGACTCACTCATATTGTTTGCGGCCCTCCCGAAATGTTGGCGGGCTCACTCATATTATCGCGGACTCACTCATATTGTTGCGGCCCTCCCCCAAATTGTTGCGGCTCACTCATATTATCGCGGACCTCACTCATATTGTTGCGGACTCACTCATATTATCGCGGACTCACATCATATTGTTGCGGCTCCCCAAATTGTTGCGGGCTCACTATATTATCGCGGACTCATCTCATATTGTTGCGGCCTCCCCAAATGTTGCGGACTCACTCATATTGTTGGCGGACTCCCATATTGTTCGGACTCCCCTATATTGTTGCGGACTCACTCATATTGGTTGCGGATCTCCTATATTGTTGCGGACTCCCTCATATTATTACGGATTCCCCTATTATTGTTCGGATCTCACTCATATTGTGGGCGGACTCCCATATTGTTGTGGAACTCACTGCAAATATTGTTGCGGACTCCCCATATTGTTGCGGACTCACTCATATTATCGCGACTCACTCATATTGTTGCGGACTCAACTCAATATTGTGCGACTCACTCATATTATGGCTGACTCACTCAGTTGTTGCGGACTACCCCATATTGTTTGCGGACTCCCTCAATATATTGCGGACTCCCTTATATTGTTGTGGACTCACTCATAATTGTTGCGGACTCCCCATATTGTTGCGGACTCACTCATATTATCGCGGACTCACTCATATTGTTGCGGACTCACTCATATTGTTGCGGACTCACTCATATTTATCGCGGACTCATCATATTGTGCGACTCCCCTATATTGTTGCGGACTCCCTCATATTTTATTTGCGGACTCCGCTATATTGTTTCGGAACTCGCCTACCTCATATTGCCTGCGGAACTCCACATATTGAATTTGCGGACTCACTCATATTATCGCGGACTCAACTCATATATTGTTCGATCCCCCTATAATCTGTTGCGGACTCCCTCATATTATTGGCGGTACTCCCTATTATTCGTTTCGGACTCACTCATATTGTTGCGACTTCACTCATATTATCGCGGACTCCACTCATATTTGGTTGGCGGACTCCCCATATTGTTGGCGGGCCCTCCACTCATATTGTTGCAGATCACTCATAATTGTTGCGGACTCCCCTATTATTGTTGCGGACCTCACTCATATTGCTTGCCGACGCCCAGTATATGTTGCGGACTGCCGCCTATATTGTTGCGGACTCACTCATATTGTTGGCGGACTCACTCATATTGTTTGCGGACTCCCCTATATTGTTGCGGACTCACTCATATTGTTGCGGACGACTCGCCCGAATATGTTGCGCGGCCTCACTGCATTATTGTTGCCGGACGCCCCCATATTGCTTGCAGGGATCTCACTCATATTATCGCGGACTTCACTCATATTGTTGCGGACTCCCCACTAATTGTTGGCGGAACTCACTCATATTGTTGCAGGACTCACTCTATTGTTGCGGACTCCCGCCTATAATTGGTTGACCGCGATCACTCATACTTGTTGCCGACGCCCCCATATTGCTTGCGGACTCCCTATATTGCTTGCCGGACTCACTCAATATTGTTGCGGACTCCCTATATTGTTGCGGACTCACTCATATTGTCTGCGGACTCTCCCCTATATTGTTGCGACTCCACTCATATTGTTGTGCGGAACTCCCCATCATTGTTTGTGAGACTCCCTAATATTGTTGCCGACGCCCCCATATGTTGTTGCGCGGACGTTACGTTCGCTACTATCTATTATTGTTGCGGACTCACTCTATGTGGCACTCCCATATTGTTTGCGGACCTCACTCCTATTGTTGGCATCTCCTATAATGTGCGGTATCACTTCATATTTGTTGCGGACTCCCCTATTTTGTTGCGGAACTACGGTCATATTTGCCGGACCGCCCCATATTGTTGTGGACTCACTCATATTGTTGCCGAACGCCCCCATATGCTTGCGGAACTCCCTAATATTGTTGGGACTCACTCATATTGTTGCGGACTCCCCATATATGTTGCGGCCTCACTCATATTTGTTGGCCCGACGCCCCCATGATTGTTGTGTGGACTCCCCTAAATTATTGCTTGCCGACGCCCCCATATTGTGTTGTGTGGACTCCTCTTTAATTGTTGCGGACGCCCCCCATAATTGTTGTGGACTCCCATCTTATTGTTTGGCGTACCCCTTTTGTATTTTCTAGAGCAGAGCGTCTGTTTTACCCGGCAGATATTTCTTTACCAGCGGCATGCGTGTAACGCTCATTGTTTTGTTCTATTGTGTTATACAGGGTATTACGTGTACATGGGGATAGCGTACCTCAGCGCCAGCCCAACCATAGCACGCCTCTATCTCACGTCTGCCTCCAACCTAAACCCTGTCGGATGTTCCCAATTCTGGTATCACATGTTCGCACTGCCGTTCGTAGGTCAAAGCAGTTCAAAGAGCCGTTCATCTCTATCGGAGAGGCCGGCTGGTACATATGAAAGAATTTTCGGCCTTAGTGACTGTAATATACAGGCGGTTGACTGTATGCACGTGCGCCGCTCGCGGTGCCGAGTTGTTGGGATACATGGAGTCGTGATGGGAGAAAGCGCGCGCGCTCGCGTTGAAATGAGTAGAAACGAGGCGGGCGCGAAAAATCCAATAAAGCTAAGCGGTAAAATACACGGACGATTATTAGCAGCACCAGAATGAACATAGCGTGCTTTCGTGAAGGGACCCTAGCGCCCGCTAGAATTGAAAAAATCCAGCCGTAACTTAATAATTTACCCGTCGCCGCTGACATGCTATTAGTTGGTTTAGTCTGTTAGCTTATTAAACGAGCAGGCTGCTAACGGGACCGCGCGGAGATTTGGCTTCCTCTATGTGAATGTATGGCCAGGAACGCTGAGAATTCTACGCCAATATGGTAATGAGAAATATTACAGGTTACCGATCATGGGCGATGGTATGGCGATCAAGCGTACGTCTCGGGGAAAGCCGCGTATTTCGCTAGACCAATATACGGAGGGTATATCAGGTTACAGATAACTTAACATTACTAGGTAAACAGTATCGCCAAGGCGCCAGAGACAAGCCTTGCCTGTCTCCTATAAAATTCCACTAATAGTTAGACTGTATTAATTGGATTTGCCGAAGTCTCGTTAAAAAAATTCATGCAAGACGCACTAATGCAATTGTAACCAATAACAATAATAATGAAAAATTAATGAAGGATAAATATAGATGAATCAATTGAATAAATGAGTAAAGTGAGCAAGA